GACACAGCATGAAATGAGCTGAAATTCAGCAGTGGGAAAGAATGATTACAACATCGGGGAAATCTCCCTGAGAGAAGTGGAATCTGACCTATATCCTCAAGTACACAGAGGCGTCGAACAGGGAGGAAGGTGTCCCAGAGAGGGGAGGCCAAAATAAGCTGTATGCTGGGACAGAGAAGCAGAGGACACGGTAAGTGGCAGATCAGTTTAAAAAGAGGTTATTACACTCCAGTGTCAGCCTGAAGAATAACAAAGCAAGGCCTTCGCTCAGAAGAAAACAAGAGCCAGTAGAAACAACACTAGATTGAAAGTTAGAATTTCTACCATGACATTGGCTAACTGATCTTGAGAAAAACTAGTTATCTTGACTTCAGTCTCATCACAGTACACACACACACACACACACACACACACACACACACACAGACAGACACACACAAAGGGGAGGTTAGCCCAGAAACCAGACTTTTTGCAGCTCTGAAACAATGTGTTCAAAGCAAGTGTTACAATGAAGCCCTGCAGGTAAGCAAAAATATGCTGGGAGAGGGGGACAAAAGCAACTCATCAGTCCCATGTTCTAGTCATTCCAACTATCTTGAGTGAGTTTCCAAGAAACTCTTTACATTATGCAAAAGCAGTTTAAAAGCAGTAAGAATGGATAGCAAAGGACCCCTTCAACTTTAAAAAGTATTTCAACTTTCCCATCAGTGATTACTTTCACTGTTTGCCTACAATCCATTCCCCCAACGTGCATTCACTAAGTATCTACCATATCTTAAGCATTTTAATTAAAACTAGGGAGCCTTCCCTCTGAGGTTCAATTTCTATTTGGAAGGGAAAGAAAAAAAAATTTGATAATATGCCAGAAAAAATGGTTAAAAGAGAAAGTGACTGCTCCATCAAACCCATCTCTACTCATCTTTGCATCACACTCTTCATCCTGTCTTCTCATATTTTCATCCTCACAGATCATTTGTTCTTTTCTCTGAAACCCTGCAGCACTTTGCAGCATGTGTAAGTTTCTGCCATTTGCTAACTGTTTCACTGTACGATTATGCACCACCACCTAATGATTTCTGGTCAACAATGAATGATTTACACAGTGGGTGTCCCTCCAGCCAGCCCAGGTGTGCACCTAAGTTTGTAGAGTGCACTTTGTGAGGTTCACATAAGGAAATCACTCAACCACAGAATGTATCTTCACTGTTAAGAGATACATGTACTGGGCTTTTTTTTCCACCCAAGTAGTAAATAATTCTTAAGGTTGCCATACCAAAGGCAGACAGTTCTTGCAGGGCCACCCTGTCTGTACAGACTGAGCAGGCACTGGTACCTGCTGACTGCTGTAACATGGCCATTTTAGAACTGCAAATGCATTCTTCAAGCTTTCTTCTTTGCAATGTTATGGACTAGAACTTTTAAGGAACATACAAGAATTGTATGAATAAATTAGCTCAACAGAAATCTACAATGGATCTGGGAAGAAGTAGGATGGCCAGGTGGTACATGTGTTTGTAAAGAAAACTAATCCTAACACAAACATTAGCTAGTCAAGCCTAAGTAGATGGGGTGGAACCTAAAGGGCAAATGCTGGCACAACCACCTGTGCCAGCAGAGTGGACGATGAGGATGTACAGAAGGAAAGGGCAGACCTAGAGTGACTGACCCACTAGGCCTCTTGCCTATCTCCTTGTGGAATGTGTGTCAGGGCCACGACCCTGGCCCCCCACCCCTCTACAGTTTAGCGTGCTACTCCTATCAGGCCTCGGCTTAAAAGCCACTAAGGGCTCCACTACCTCCTCCTGCAGAGTTCCCTTATCCCTTTTACAGTAGGAAAATATACACGTTGTGGTTGCCTTTTCACTATCAAAAAGTCTAAAAATTCCTACATTTGTCAGTTGTGCTATCTGTTCCCACAACTGAGCAAACACATAAAAATCTACTGTGATACATCTGGTCACAGAAGCACTGCTCAGAACAGTAAAAATGGAAAACCACCTAAATGTCCACCTGTGATGAGTGCACAAACAAATGTGCCACATTTATGCACTGGACTATATTATTCAGTCATATAAACGGTTAAAACAATGTCATGTGCCACAACATAGATGAACCTTGAAAACATGATGTCAAAGTAAAAGAGGTCAGTCACAGCAGGCCACATATTGTTACAGCCCCATTTATAGAGAATATTCAAAACAAGTAGATCCATAGGAACAGAACACAGGTTAGTGATAGCCAAAGGTTGGAAAAAGGGCATAGTATATGACTGACTGTTGATAAGTACAGGGTGTCTTCTTGGGTTGATGGAATGTTCTGGAACTAGACACTGGTGAAGATTGTACAATATTATGAATGTACAAAATGCACTGAATTGTATGCTTTTTAAAAAGATTTATCTATTATGCATACAGAACTGGGGTATGGGCCAGAGGCACAGGGACAGTGAAGAGGATTCACCGGAGACAGAGTGAGGAGTAGAATAGGCAGATTAGGAGAGGTCTGCTGCACCATGTGGGTCACCTCCGGGGCGGGGATCGAACTCGTGCTGAAGTGGCTTTAGCTTCTTAGTGCTGCACCACCAGGGAGGGGCTTGAATTATACACTTTTAAGGTGTTAAAATGGGACATTTTATTTACATATATTTTATCACAATAAAAAGGTACTGTGGGGCCCTCCCTGGTGGTTGCAGCAGGTAAATACAGCACTAAGAAGCTAAAGCCACTTCAGCGTGAGTATTTGATCCCTGGCCCCGGAGGTGACCCACATGGCGTGGCAGACCTCTCCTGACCCATCCACTGCTCCCCTCAGCAGTGTACTTAGTCAGTCGGCCTGTTCTGCTCCTCACTGTCTCCAGTGAAGCCTCTCACTGCTTCTGCACCTCTGGCCTGTACCCCAGTTCTGTATGCAAAATAAATAAACCTTAAAAAAAGTGCTGTGAATTCTGTAAACTTTAAATTTGTATCTCATTAATCTCTAAGATATAACTTGTAACAGGAGCTATTACCACTGCAAAAGAAAACCACACACTTATTTAGAAGAATACTTATTCACTCTGCAAACTATGCTTGGTGCAGAATTCATGTACAGTAATAACTAACTGTAACAAACAATGGCAAACACTGAACCAGGCAATGCTCTAAAGTGCTCATATTTAATCCTGTTGATTAAGGAAGATAACTGATAACACAGGCGTGGACACAGTAAGTAACCTGTCTAAGACTCAACTGCCAGTAAGTACAGAACGTCAGACTCAAGCCTGAAGCCAATCTAACCTAGCTCCAGGATACAGCTCCACCAACTCACAATCAGATTCTTCTCATTTTGGGACTAATCCATTCTCCCTTCACTATCTCTCCATCTTGCACATAGAATCACATATTCAGCCTTTCTATTTGCAGAATCCACACCAAAAACACCTATCTCCACTGCTGGCAACATGTGTCCTAGAGGCCAGCAGTGTGCCTTCTCTCCTCTCTGAAGGCTGCATTGCGATGGAAGAAGTAGGGATGAGGGCGGCCTTCAGAGTTCTTGCACAACTTCCTTTGTCTATTCTTACCACTTGCAAACACTGTTCATTTTAGCCCAAGATCAGAACAAAGAACTACTCTTATGCACCCGGTAAAACCAAAGGTGCCCTGTACTTTTCTGGAAAATAACACAGAATGCAAGCCTATAAGCCACAAGATTGAATCATTTTGTTCGGCCAGCATAACTTTTACAAATACTAACAAATCACCTGAATGCTGAATGCATTTCCTAGGTCACCCAATACAGGTGTGTCATCTGCTGCTTGCTGGGTATAGGTATGCCCTGCTGCTGCTTGCTGCTTGCAACCTGATGCTCTAAGCATTCAAGCTATCTGACTTAGCCTTTAACTGACTGACTCTAGTCACTCCTAATGGTCTTTCTTTCTATGACTGTTCTTTAACACACATTAAATTGAGGCTGGAAAAGACACCCAACACAAAAAACACAACCTAAAAGCGTAAAACATTCATTTGATCACTGGTTTTAAAACAGAATACAAGCTACTTCTAAGAATGGAAAAAAAAAAAGTCCTATATAATTTCACAGGTGGAAAGTACCTAAAATTGGAGTATCTTCAAATCACAGCACAACTAGAGAACTTCTAAGACAAGGACTACTTACTTCGAGCAGAAAAAAAGACCCTGCTTGCAGGTCACTGTTGGCAGCCCCAACACCAGTGACTTCTGTGCAAAGGTCCGAACCCTCTCATTTAGAAGGTTTATCTCTGATTAAAACTGAGTAACCCAGTGTTTGGGTTACTTCTGGGCAGCTTACAATGCTGTTCAAGTTCAGGGAATAAACACCGAAAATGAAATAGAACATGTTGTGCTCTACCACCACCAAACAAAGGATATCACTCTTTCCCAAAGTTCTGGCTCTCTAGACCAGTAGGAAGAGGGTCTCTGATGGTGTGAACAAGTAAAAAGTCCACAACTGTGCCCTGTAAAACCAAAGTAGCAGCCAGCACATCATAAACAAGTTAATATTTACAAACTACAAGAAAGCCACACACACATATATCTAGTATAAATCAGCACAGGAAGCTACTAACTATTAAACTGATATTCTAGCATCAAACAATTTCCACAAATGACTTTAGCCCTAGATGAGTTACTAAAAATATGTAGGTACATTAAATTTTTTGCTTTTTTAATTACACCTTTTAAGTATAAAGGGCCCAATATTATTTAAAGAAGTTCAAGAAGAATCCTTTTATAAGAAAACACTGCTTTTATTTTATCCTACTGAAAACAAACCCCTACACATGCCAGGCTCTGGAGTCAATGTGCAAAAGTGAAATCCTCATCATTAACAAATCACCTTCTCTCCTGATCTGCTCTCTGTGCTGCAAGGACCCAGATGTAATTTTGGCGTGAAAATGTAGGTCATGTAAAGAAGATATAAATAAAATAATCTTACATGTAAGCGGCAACAGGTTAAAATGACGTCAAGCAATATGTAATACTTACTGCTGGTTCAACTTGACTCCGATCTGCTATATCTATGTGGACAATTTCAACAGTTTTCCATGTATTTGGATCTAAACCATGTACCTATAAATGAAAAAGAAAAACAAAACAATATTTCATGAACTCAGATGTCTCAATGGATCAAGAAATCTTGTTACCCCTTTAAATCCAAATAATAAATGGGGAGGAAAGGACACTGCCAAATGCACAGAAATCTGCCACTATTCTTTTCAGTCAATTCTTAGAGATGGTTTACATAGTAAAATGTATCTGACCTATACTTAACCCAAATGATACATAGTAAAAGCCCTTGCACCTTCTTAAGTCCTACACAAACATAAGATGAAAACATTGTAATTAGATATCAAGAAGCAGTTCTGTATGGTCTAAAACCTCATAAGGCTATACAATTTCAGTGTGATGCCAACACTTCAATTATTTACTTTTGAAACTCCATCTAGAAACAATTAAGAATTTTTTAAAAACTGTGAAAGATATGCCCATTTCAATGCTAAAAATGGCAAATTCAATCAAATATAGACTGAAGCATAGCAAATCATGTCATTCAGACTAGTTACTATGGGGGGACCAAAACATAGAATGCTCAATTCCAAAAAAAATTCAAGTCAAGTACTACCCATCAAAATTCAAAAGTTCTACTGCCTGGTACAGTAAGAACAGACTCTACCACAACTATCACTAGTTACTTTGCTGTAACAATCTCTCATAAGGAGGGAAAAGCAGTTATCAAACGTGAACAAGCGCCAGAAAACACAGATTCCTCACCGATTCTAATTCAATTGGTATGGGATGGGCAGCTCTGAGAATCTGCATTTCTAACAAGTTCCCAGATGCTATTGCTGGCCAGGGAACACATTTTTGGGAACTACTGGATCAAAGACATCAATCCGTACCAAATGCCCTCTCAATTTCACTGATAGACCTCATCAAAGGGTCATGGTTGCACTAAGTCCCACCTGACTTCTCTAAAACTAACCTCAGAGTAAGTATGTACCAACCTGTAAAAGTCAGGAAGTTGTTGACATTTTTGTAAATTATTCAAAGTACCTTTTCCCTCCTGACTTTTGGTCACTTCACTGACATCAATCTATATCCCAGCAAAGTGGGATGGAGGTAAAAATTAAAACAACCCATTAACTACTTTTAGCAGTTGGGACCAATACAAAGAGATGTCAAGATGAAAGAACTCTAAAATTAATAGTCACAGTATCTTTATCTTTTGTTTACCTATGCTCTCCTTGTCTCAGAAGAACAGGAGCTGATAAAAACAACAAACTCACCAACATCTACTCAAGTGCCAAAGACAGGGGACTGGCTCATTTGTTTCGGACTGCAGGCTTGCCTCACCTCAATGTGACAAACTCTACTATGGCCAAGGGCTAGTAAAATGCAGGTCACATCACTCTGGTGATGACAAAATGGCCTACGGTGTACCCATCTCCAGGCGCTTCTGCACTGAAAGTACAGTCAAAACTTACATTTTCTAATGTTCCCAAGTCTGGTTTGTGCCAAGTTTCAATTTTTATGAAGAAATCATCTTTCATATATTCATTCTGCAGAGAAAATAGCAAAATGACAGTGATGTTTTCACCAATTCGTTGGGGCTCCCGTGTGTGGGAGCCTTCCCCAGCATAAGCATCCATGCTTTGACTTTACAGAAGACTACTACTCTTCCAGTGACAAAGAATTATTAGTGGCCTATTTGAGTAGACTTGTCAGGCAAATCAAATACTGCATGCTTTTCAACAATGTAAATAAGCCAACTTGCCATGCAGCATACAGTGCCAATCAATAATGCAGAAATTGTGAGATTTGGTGAGCAATGCTTGCATTAAAAGGGAGTAGCAGAAGCAAAATAAAGTCAGTAAGGAGTCGCCGCAACAAAATTAGGAAGAGCCAATTAACACTGGGATTGAGTGTGAGCTGGTAGAAGGACCAAAGGAGTCACTCACTGGTGGGCAGTTTCAATAAAAAAAAAAAGGAAGCAATAGTTGAAAATAATTACTAAGTAAAGAAAAATTTAGAGATGAAGAGTAAATGACACAAAAATTAGATTTACTCACCGTTACAACTGAGGCACAATGGACAAGTAGGCAATGAAAGAGGAAAAATTTCAGAACATTAATCAGAATCAATACAATCTGTCCCAAAATGCAATTCTGCAGATAAGCAACCTGACAACAGAACATTTAGTAGTTTATGTCTCCAAAACATATTTCTATACAAGTGTCACTATAAGATACTTTAGACTATGAAGTCAATAATCTAATTATAAAGCAAGGGTAACACAAAGGCAGGATGTCATTTATAAGGCAAACTTAATAAACAGAAAATTTTGAGAAGCCTGTCATATTTTTCCTTTATTATGAGCAATGTAAGCAAAGTACTACTGAGACTATACCAAAGACATTTCTGAATATGAATGAACTTTCTTTAAGTTTTCTGTATTCCTTTAGTTTACTTCTCCCTAGAGGCTACTCTGTCTGCAAGGACCTTAAAGTAGCTGTCACCTGTGAAAGAACCCATGTCTCTGCCAGAGGCCCGTTGGGAGGAACCCAAGACAGTTGTCCTGCCACAACCTGTGTGATGACTACCTGAGACCCCACGAAGACCAGCTCGGTGTAACACTTCTCAAAGGAGTCATCCCCAGGGGCCCCTCTCCTTAGCAGTGGGGCTGAGGAGCAAAATGGCGCTGGGAAGAAGGCTTACTTGTTCTACAGTAGGGGTATGCATTCCAGGCTTTCTCGTGAAACACCAAGGAGCCCTCAGGAGCAATCATCCTCACAAAAGCAGGAACTTTGCTGTGAGGAAAGAAATAATGGATGTATTTTCAACCACCAATTCCTTACTGGCATTTATCACACTGCTTCCAACAGTACTGTAACCAAAGGTGATAATTTACTAAGCTTCATAAACTTATACCCAAGAATGTTAAGTTTTCTTTTTTAATACAAAAGTAATCAAGTAGATGGAAAGTTAATGTAAAAGTAACAAAATGGTTAAGAGGTTTATTTTTTTTAGAGAAGCAGTTATGGCTTCTGATTTACTCCCCTACTGTGACATCTAGGTGTTAACCGAAGCTATTCAACTTGCACATTACACAAATAATTATACTATACAACACTGTTCTTTTAACACACACAAAAGCCACAGAATAAGGAACTCTCAAAGTTTTAAAAAACATTTTATAGGCCCTCCCTGGTGGCGCAGCGGGTTAAAGCACAGCACTGAGAATCTAAAGCCGCTTGCACATGAGTTCGATTCCGCCTGCCCTGGAGGTGACCACATGGCGTGGCAGACCTCTCCTGACCCACCCGCTGCTCCCCTCAGCAGTGTACTTCGTCGATCTGCCTGTTCTGTTACCCACTCTGTCTCTAGTGAAGCCTCTCACCGCCCGTGAGCCTCTGGCCTGCACCCCATTTGTATGCACAAATAAATAAATCTTTAAAAAAAAAATGTGTCTAAAATAAAAAAAAAAATTTATAACATTAACTACAGAAAAATGACAACATGAAGAACTCTTGTAGGTAATAAGATTATGACACAACCAAGTATAAAATTTTATAGGTTTAAAAGATGAATGTTACTGGCTGCCTCAGTATGGTCAGAGGGGAAAGGTTAGTCATAGAACTGATACATGATGAGTGTTTGCAAAGATAATCAAGAGAGAGCCAACAGATAAATGGACAAAGGACATCCACAGATACATTACAACTAGAAAACACAATGGTTAACAAATGAAAAAAACTAGCGTTGGAGTTCAAAGAAATGCAAACAAAATGCTCATTTTTACTAACTTGAGCCACTATAAAGAAAACACTTCTACAAATACTTTTATAGGCTGGATTCAAACCCCAACATCACCATTGAGAAGCTGTGTAACATTGGGGCTCCTGCCAATGCGGCAAATTAAATTACTGGAGGGACATGACTGCATATGGCAGTTAAGAGTAAGCCTTCAGTCTTAAAAGATAGCTAATAAAGGAAAGCTAATGTTTTAAATATATAATAGTTTGCAAGTCTTAGAAGATTCATGCAAAGGGATATAACTTTAGAAAAATGAAGCCAGGATAACTGAAAATAGTATCGCATTAAAAGTCAGTATCAAGCAGCTCAAATTATTTCTTGTTGCTAAAGAATTGGAACCAAAATTTCTACAATATGGGAGAAGACTAATCAGAGAAATGTACATAATATATGTAATATATGAGAGTAATGATGTAATATATGTGGGTAAATTTTTGACATAAGCTATAAGGGTATATAAAACAGTATCAAAATAATATAAAAATTATCAAGAATATATGTATTTTTAAATAGAAGCAATTCTTTCTTTTATGGTTTCTGATAAACTCCCCTACTTCTCATCTCAGAGCATAACAATCAGGTATATCAATGGCTTTATTTGATTACTTAGAAAAGGCAGGAGAAAAGTAGTCACATACTAGACCAGAAACATATTTTAACAATCTTGTTTATTCTTTTAGTGCCCAACAGTCTAAAACTTTAATATTCATCAAATTCCTAAAACGTGCTGACCCAAAGAGAAGAAAATTGGCAGTCATTAAAAACCAGCAAGGATCAAATCTAAAATTAAGTTTTAATATTTATTTAGCTCCCAAATGACTTTAACCTTATTTCCAGGATTCTTTTCCCACCAACAGAATTACAACAGTTCCTTTTATGCTCTGGCTTAGTCAAGAAAAGACCAAACATTTGAACTATTTTTGTTTCAAATGTACTGGCTTTTAACAGTTAACATGAGAATATAAATAACATCTCTCCTCAATGTATTAAAATAACTGACTAGCATTGGAGAAAATGCATGAATAGAATAAAATTAAATTTCAATCCTACTTTGAAGGACAGGAATTTTCATTAATGGCAACTTGAGTAGTCATATAAAAGCAGTTCAAGTGTGCCATTTATATATGAATGAAAGTGTATATATCATTCCTCCATCTCAAAATCAGTTAGGAAGATATGTGCAATGAAATACCGAAAATTCTGGTTTGGAGGCTTAAGAGTCTCATAAAAGGCACAAATATTAGCTGAAGTAACAATGGCACTAAGTATTAAAAAACATATGAAAAGTATATTCCTTTTCTTGTTCTAAACTTCTCTCTCGCAACAAACTAACACTCATGACAGTGCTAACCTCAAGATAAACATATCTAGATTTCAGTTGTTTAATAGTTAGCTATAGCATAATGTCCAAAGGTTTATGCCCTTCCCCTACTCTAGCTATGAGTGGACACTGAGAATATTTTACCTCAGGGTAAAATTCCACTTATATACTTATCAGTGGTGTTGAGTGGGGGATATTACTCTAACCTCAATATAACAATTTTTGTGAATCTGTTTCAGCATTTGACAGCTTTGTCACAATGTTACAAGAAAACAAGGCTAATTAAATTTAACAGATATATAATGAATAACTATAATACATACTGAATTTCTATTTAGCTTTCTTTTAAAATATCCTGTTTTGAGATATTAAATAACATCTTGGCAAATCATTTAAAACTGCACTTTTCCCATGAAAATTTTTCATTTACTTGCAAACAAACTGAGCAAAATGTTTCAAAGCTCCACTTTTCTATCTTCCTCCATCCTATTGTGGTTAAACATGAGGCACAGAGAAAAAAAGGGAGGAATCTGAAGACCAGATTAATTTGCTGTAAGTAAAGCAATTCATCTATCATTTTATAGTCATACCTTAAACACACCTAAAATACATTGGACATCTTATTCACTCACTCACTCACTCATGTATTTACTGAATGTCGAATGTGCCTGGGGTTATATAAATAATGGTGTGTGAACAGAAACAATTTTACCCACAACTCGTACAGAAAACAGACCAGTAAACACAGACAATGAGAATTACCTCTAGCAAAATGCTGAGACGTTAAAGAAGGCAACGGGTAAATGAGTTCCTAGGACAAGGGGGCCCACAAGGGCCCCATGAGGAAATGAAATTACAGTGGTGATCTAAGGATGTGGAGTGCCAGGACACAAGAGACAGGGAGTGGAGTTTGGCCACATGCCCTAAGACAGCCAAAGATTTGACTCATTTGAATCACTGGACTGTGGCATGGCTAGACAATACCAAAGAGAAGCAGAGGGAAAGAAGAAAATGTTCAAGATGGACATGGGCCCTATCACACAGGTCTAAATATTTTGGACTTTATTTCTTATAGAATGGGAAACTACTGAGATTTTAAGGAGAATGACAGAACCTAATCTACAATTTAAGGTCATCCCAGCTTGGTGTGGAACATTAATGGAATGGACAAGGATGAAGGCATACGAAGATCTAAAACTATAAAATTCTCAGAGGAAATAAATTCACACACATGAAATTTTTGTGACTCTCGATTGTGTTACAGGAGAAATATGTAATGATATTCTGCAGATAGGGCAGTAGTTTTTTTAGATAATGACACCAAAAACATAAGTAACAAAAGAGCAATTAAGAGACATCATCCAAATTTTTAACTTATCAAGAACTTTTCAAAGAACCCAAGAAAGTGAAAAGACAATTCACAGAATGGGGGAAAATACTGCGAATCATATATAACAAGAGGCTGCTATATAGAATATATAAAGAACTCTTACAACAAGAGAAACTAATAATGGGGAAGAGCTCTGAACAGACATTTCTCCAAAGATTTACAAATGACCAAAAAACACATGAAAAGATGCACATCATTAATCAGAGAAATGCAAATCAAATCCACAATGAAATACCACCTCACATCAGGATGGCTATTTCAAGGTAACTGAAAATAATTAATGTCAAAAAAATTAGACTGTAAAACGATAAAGTTGCTTTGGAAAACCACCTAGCAATTCTTCAAAAAGTAAGAAATTACCACATGAGCCAGCAATTACAATTATGGGCATGTGCTTAGTATATATTTAAAATGTTAAATTTAAGATCATTTTGCCTTTGGGTGAATTTGATTTTCACTTCAAGGGAAAAACATGTCCATGCTGAAACTTGTCCATAATGGTCAAAGCAGCACTATTTATAATAGCTAAGAGATGACAAGAGACCATGGAGGTAACTGGAGGATCTCATGAGGTAATGGAACTTGCATTAAACGTAGTAGCCATGGAGATGGAAGACTGCACAAAGGAAAGAGAGATATAAGCAGGAAAAAATATCCCAACTTGTGGGGAAGGAACAAATGAAACAAAAATAAATTGTCTACTATCCAGGAAATATAACAAGACTCAACTTTTACAGAATTACAAAAAAATTACAATACCAAAGAGCAATAAAATATTCCATAAAGAGGAAACAGTTTTTCAGAAACAGGTATTTCTGATATTCTTCTGGAATAGGATCACTCGATTTAGAAAACTCTGAACTTTGCAAAATTTAACACTTAGAACTATTTACAAAGAAAACATTATGTGCTGATACCTAATTCTCAACTCAAAAAACAAATTATACTATATTTGGGTAATAATTATTAAATGTTTACTCATTTAGAAATACTCTACAAACAGGAATCATCATATATAATCTATCTTTGCATTTTCAGTTGATTTAAATGTATCACTTTCAAAACTTAAACACAACTTTGGTTTCTGGCAAATGATTCTTTTTGCTTATAAAAATGAAGTATTTAGGGCCCTCCCTGGTAGCGCAGCGGGTTAAAGCACAGCACTGAGAAGCTAAAGCCACTTCCGCATTGAGTTCGATCCCTGCCTGCCTGGGAGGTGATCCCACATGGCGCGGCAGACCTCTCCTGGCCCACTCGCTGCTTCCTAAGCAGTGTACTTCAAC